AGTGGCTGGGGCACCCTGGGGTTCCCGTGAGCCCCAGGCAGGGACTGCAGAGGGGCCCATGTTCCCCTTGCTGCCGCAGCACAGCCCATGTGGGATCATGGCTTCAGAGGAGCCTCCTGCCCCTACTGTCCCCTCAGACAATGATGGGCCCGGGGTATTTCCCGCTGCCCCTGCCCAAACCCTCGTCTCTCCCACCCTGCACTGGCTGCTCAGCCCACAGCTGCATGGGGAGCGGGATCTGATGATGAATCGATGCCAATGTGGGAGGTGTCACCCCTTCGTCAGCCCTCTGGGAACAGGGTGCAGTTTGTGGGAAAATCCTCCCAGCCGCAGTCGTCCTGGGGTGACTCAAATTCACTCCTGACCAGACCCAGCTCCCTTGGAGGCAGCAGGGAGCTGAGTCCAGACACCCCATTATTCCCTGGATGACGGAGCAGCAGCAGGGATGGGGCACGTCTGCCCTGGCACCCCCATATCCCCTGTGAACAGGGATGGGAACCTCCAGCCCTGGAGAAGGGCTCTCTCCTGAGCTACATCTCCCAACACAAACTCATCCCAATTATGTGAGGGGCTCATAGGGGTTGAGGGGCCCATCCCAGCTGCTGGAGCTGCCGGAACAGCTCTGCCCACCCTTATCTCCATGTGCATTAATATCCGTTGCCATTTGCCTCCCAACGAGTGTTGCCATGTTCAGCTTCCACAGCTCCTGCGTCAGGGAATTCCAGAGGGACAAAGTCAGTGGAGCCGGATCCTTCCCTCCCCATCCCACAGGCACCTGGCACCCATTTGATCAAGTGGCAACTTGTCCTCCAACTGTGAAACAGGGTGAGGAGAAACACATCCAGGTCCTCGGCGTGGCCGGGAACTTCCCCGCGGGGCGTGAAATGCCCCGTCCAGCGCCGCGGGCTCCGCTCTGCGGGCAGCCGGGACCCGTCTGGCTCCGGGGCTGGTCCGCACCGGCCCGTCTAGACCCACCTCCCCAGCTCAGGAGTTGCCGGACTGGGTCACAGTTTCCTCATGGGTTGTAAATAATTGCTACGGTGTCTTATCAACAGTCGGGATCATCAATCAGCGAGTAAACGACTGCAAATTTGTCCCACAGCTGCAATTCCCACACAGTAACCGAGCCCTCCCAGAAGCCGTGGGGCGGTCACGGAGCCGTTAGGCGCTGGTTCTCACCGGTGCCGGAGTCCTGTCCCCGCCCTGTCCCCTGCGCCCACCCAGGGACCGGGGGCTTCTGTGGGGGAATCCGTGAGCTTTGCTCTCCAGGAGCTGGTGCACAAAAC